TGATGACGTCCAGAGGATATCACAAGATATGAAAAGTGGACAGTGTCAAGGTGATACAGACATAAGTATTCCACAACACAGTTGAACTGCACTGCTCTCATTTTACTTCAACTGGTCCGCTGAGGATCAGCTGGCCAAGGCTGTTAGAAAATGCAGCCATCTTTACAATTATTTCAGCAAAATTGATAAAAAAAAATCAAGAAGATATTATTAAGAAAATAAAGAAAAAAATGCACATTTTTTGCGGCTCTCTGTGGCTGTGTTGGTCGAGATGAGGTACGCCTTCGCCGGGCAGGATAGGGACACGTTCCGACACCGTCTGTCGGAAACGGTGGCCGTCTCTTTGTGACAAATTTGCAAATTAGAGCTGCTCCTCGGTTAACAACAGAATCTTCTTCCTCCAACATGGACTRAAAATAAACCTCCACKTTGCTAACCGTGCTGTCACTGCRTAGTTGTGTCTGTTTGCRAGTGACGTGTGCAGCAGTAAGAGGYCTWACCAGAACTTCTCCAACAGAACATCTCTCACAACCATGTGAGAGAGAACAAATGTCTTACATCTTCAGTACGTAGCAAGCCAACCTTGAAAAATATCATTGTGCRCAATCTTGTGCCACATTGCAAGATGTGAGGTGTGATTTTTAGCTCAAAATCTATAAAACTATCTGAATTGTAGCTATAATCATGCTGACTAATATCGAATGTGGTGACCAAGTTGAATTGATTTCTAAAAGAAATGAGTTGTACATCCAAACATTATTGATTTAACACAACTATTTTCTGAAAGCTTCGTGATAAATCTGTCTGGTGGTTGAATGGATTTTAGCCAACGATTACTTTCTACAAATTTCATTTTTGTTAGTAAACTCATATGAACACACGATTACAAACTTGGACAAAAATATTGCTCTCCTTTGCCCTTTGGTGGCAGGCAATAAAACTATACATTATGTCAAACTTTGTGTTAATTGGAGGAATTAAACATGTTTCTCGTGTTTAAATAAACAACCGCCATTCCTGTAAATCTGGAAAATGCAACTCCTTTTGCATAACAGTTTAACCCCCACGTTACAGAGGAAATTCTTGCACAGCTAAGACAGAGAATTAAGCCTACACAGGAAAACAGAAGATGCATGTGTCATACAAGCTCTAAGGTATGTATGATGAAATCAGTTAATGAAAAGGTGAAAAGATTCATTGCGGTTTGATTCATAATAGGTGACAGAGCTTACCACCTCCACTAACGGAAAGGCCCACGTCACAAAACGCAGTGCCCCCCGCCAACGAGACGGCCCRCCCCTCTAAGAATTTCACGGCATGTAGTCATTTTTATTTAAATGAGGCCAGATCAAGTTGAGAGCTATTTTTGCGTCCCTCCATATCCACCTCTCGCCAAACTTGGGGAAAAAGATGGCGCAGAGCGAGGCTGAGCGCTGTGTGTGGTCCTCAAAAAGATAGGAAGACATGTGTGATTACACGCACAGCTCTGCTTTTAATCACGTTGCACCGATGCGACAGCTTTGCAAGCTACTTTTTTCTTTCTTTAAAAGAAAATGTGACGGGTGAAGCCACAGCATTGTTACCTTATCAATAATTACTGCCTTTTATTTTTCCATTCTCTGTGGGTGGGGGGTCAGCTTCATTCAGCTGCAGGTGAACACCTCCTGCGTTTCCTGGACTATTTTCCACCAAAGATTACGTCGTATTTTATATTTATTATATTTCTAAAAGCACTTCGCAGCATTTCCAGTGTTTTCACGTCACGAGCGAAACGAAACTGCGACGGATCAGCTGACTGTTTTTAAAGCGAGGTGCAGCAAACACGTCCACCTGCAGCTCGGCTCCGACCAGCCCGGGACTTAATGTTCATACATGTCAACCCCTTCAGACGTTTAACGTGTATAATGAGCGTCAAAAATTTGTAATTTGYGCAAAAAAATCAGTATTAATCACACAGGTGGAGTGGAGGYGCGCTGACCGCAGCTGCGCGGGGAGGGGAGGAGGAGGAGGGTCTTTTAAAGACGTGTCTACATTTGACTTTTATTTTTTCTAAAATCACAGAGTTCTCTGAGTCAGCTTCAGATGTTTGTAGTTAATCATAATATCTTCTAAATTTAACCAGGTGTTTCAATGCCTTTAAATTACAAAAATAATTTTACTGGAGAAACTTGTCAGTTTAATAAAAAAAATAAAAACTTTTTTCTGTGCAGAGAACTTCCTCTGCTATAATTTATTTAAAATAAATATATCAAAGC